AGTTTTTTTGACTACATGAAATTTTGTTCAATAGTAAGAGGACTCGATCCGTGTAGCAGTGTGGAAAATTTAAGAATCGCCATGGTGAAATTGAAAGAGAATAAGTCATTTCTTCCAGAGGTACTCCGGTCAATGTGAAAAAAAAAATGTTGCCCTTTTACGCATTTGACTTTTCTATGTAAACGTCCAATAGATTTAGTGATGCGCGTAGGAGTGGACCTGAAGCTGGCTCACTCACGCTCAGGGCCGTGGATGTTAAACGACGCGAGGGAACATGAGCATTTAAATGAACCTCGAGACGCTCCGCTGCCTCGGAAGATGGTGGGAGGGGTGGGGTGGAGGGGAGGGATAGAGGAGTGGAGTGAGTGAGAGGAGAGGTAGGGAGGCTTCGTAGCGCACACAATATCAGATAATCAAGGACTGAGGGTGATCAGGGATTGTCGAAGCCTAAACTGATTGTTGAGTCTCTAATATAGGACAGAGCACGTCGCACTACCTGGCTCAGGAAAACATTGTTGAAATTCATCAACGACTAGGAGAAGATCTATTATTAAATGCAAGAATTATTCAATAGATATTAATATTTAATTTTAGTCACATAGAACGATTACATCAAAATGATTTATAGAATGAGATTCGCAAATTCTTTTCACAAGTTTAGGGAGAAAAAGTCTGTGTTATAGAACATATATCAAACTTTTTAAAAAAATGACTTTATTTCACATTTTGAAATGTTACCAAGCTGAATGAAAAATATTCTAGCCAACAAGTAGATCAATAAAAAAAAAAATAATTTTCAGACTTATTTCAAGGGCCAACCTACAAATATTGGATTAATTACACAGCCCTTAAAAACTATTTTTTAGTATAATTACTGTAATTGCATTTTTGTTTGCATTTATGTAAATATAAGAGATTTATCATTTATTAAGAAGCGTTTATGTTAATGGGTCAATTTCTGGCCAAAACAAGTTTCTCAAGTTTCATATTTTATTTTATTTCCCCTTCAAAAATACATTTTATTTTTACTACACACTCAAACACGTTACAAATACAACGCACGTAGGAACATCTACACAATTAATCTCCACACCAAAAACACGCAACCATTGAAAAAATCATTAAAATTCCTCCCCATTCCTTGAAAACAACGGAACAACCCTGATTTTGAGATTCGGGGCATGGCTAAAATTTTGAAACAATGTGTTGTCATTGGCAACGAGTCTATGAGACGAGTTTTAATTTGATGGGATGATGGAAAGTGGGTCAATTAGCCATTAGAATATATTGCCCCCATAAAAAGACAGGAATGAAATCGAATTTAATAATATGAAGGGTTTTAAAAAATTTGACAGAAAATTAGATACGATTATTCAGTCACCGACCTTAGCAAGTAGCCTTGGCGAGACCAGACTTGATGGTATCAAGGACGTTGTAACTGGACGATGCGAAGACATACTTTGGAGCGCTGGCCAACTGTTCTAGCTCTGTCAGATTCACGGCATTTCCCACACCAACACAGATGATCGTCACACCATCGTTTTTCAAATCTGTGGCGGCGCTTTGGGCTAAACGTTTCAGATAAACAGTTTACAGCTTTAACCCTCTTCATTACGGGTACTTTAATGGTTGTGTATGGGCTAAACGTTTCAGATAAACAGTTTACAGCTTTAACCCTCTTCATTACGGGTACTTTAATGGTTGTGTATGGATCCACCTAACAAAAAACCATCTCACGTAATCTCACATCTTATCAACTTTAACCCATATATATTCAAATGCCACCTTGCAACTAGGTCATCAAAAAAACAAAAACAAATATGTTCTCTGAATCCTAGATGTCTAATACCACACACAAAATAATCATCCAAAAATGAAGTTTCAAAGCATGTATAAATTCAAGATACCTGTTTATAGTACTAGACGTCCAAAACATTTAGGAATAGACGTCCGAAATGTCGAAATTTAGACGTCCAAAGTATCTAGGACTAGACGTCCGAAATGTCTAGGACTAGACGTCCGAAATGTCTAGGACTGGACGTCCGAAATGTCTAGGACTGGACGTCCGAAATGTCTAGGACTAGACGTCCGAAATGTCTAGGACTAGACGTCCGAAATGTCTAGGACTAGACGTCCGAAATGTCTAGGACTAGACGTCCGAAATGTCTAGGAATAGACTTCCAAAATGTCTAGGACTAGACGTCCGAAATTTCTAGGACTAGACGTCCAAAATGTTTAGGACTAGACGTCCAAAAGGTTTAGGACTAGACGTTCGAAATGTCTAGGACTAGACGTAGACGTCCGAAATGTCTAGGACTAGACGTCAAAATGTCTAGTACTAGACGTCCGAAATGTCTAGGACTAGACGTCCGAAATGTCTAGGACTAGACGTCCAAAATGTCTAGGACTAGACGTCCGAAATGTCTAGGACTAGACGTAGCCGTCCGAAATGTGTAAGTGCATATTACAACTGAACTTATTGATCAGCACTTGGTTTAGTTCCGCCTCCATGTTTATGCTGGAAGTTCGGGAAGGGGAAGTTGAAAACCCTGGACGAGGTGTCTTTAAGTAGAAAAAAATGTATTGTCCAGTTAGCAGAACTCACTCTCCAGGCAGTTGGTGAATCCAAATTGAACATTAAATTGACTAGACCACCTGGCAATAGGGTCGACGCAGGAGCAACCTTAATTTGAGGTTACCACTGTTTTTTTTCTCCCTTAGATGCGTTACCATCCAGGAGTGTTGAGTCCCATATAAACGGAGCGCCTGGTGTTGATTTGTTCTTGTTTTTTTTTTCCTTAATTAAATTTATGTTCATATCATTTTCTGGCGACGACAAACTTCACAGCACAGTTATCCAGACACCTGTCTCTCTTCGCCGCACAGTTATCCAGACACCTTTCTCTCTTCGCCGCACATTCATCAAGACACCTCTCTCCCTTCGCCGCACAATCGTCCAGACCCCTCCCTCCCTTTACTGCAAAGTCATCCAGTCACTCTCCCCGCCCCACCCCACCCAAGAAAATTGTTAAAAACCTATATTGAATTTGGATATTCTAAATTGTTAACTTTGCAAAATGAAATAAAAATTTAACAACAATAAAAGTTGTTTTTTTTTTCCTCTTAAAGAATTTAGAGTATTATCTGCACCTACTATTTAAGATATTAGAGATCCCAGTTTAAATGTGTGGCTCTCTAAATATTAAATCTTGGCCCAATGGCCTGGCATATACCCGCTCCATCGTGAAAAGACCGTATCTCTATGCAACGCTTTTCTTCATGTTCATTAACTCAAGCTTTATCAATATAACAAAACATGCCGACAAGGCTTAATCCCATTGAAAGCCCTAATCTCAGTATTTCTTCATGGGCTTTCTCCATCACTCAACTAGTCCCTACCCAGAGTTTCGACATAACTCACAAACTCACCATCCAGCGGGTCGTTAGCTCTCCCATCGGTTATAAGAAGAGCAATTTTGATGGCGTCATCTCGTCCACCTGCAGCGGACTTGAACAGAGCCTCGGTCTGAAGAAATCGTAACCCCATGCCGGTGTTCGTGCCAGAATTTCTCAAGTATGGGATGTTCAGCAAGGCCTATTTGGATCATACATGATCTCACTACAGTTTCTTAACAGATACAATAGTTTAATAATGCAATAAATGTTCATGTCAGTCACATTCATTTAGAAAACACGTGGTTTTTGGGTTGTTGTTTTTTTATCATAGAATTGTTTCCTTCATTCTTTTATTTTCTTTATTTAGTGGGTTTGCTAATGATTTTTTAGTCTAATTTTATTTTCTTTTGATTACCTTTCTAAATCATGTAAAGAGTAAAATTGTGCAGACAATCGTTACACTGAACACATATTTATTATTTTTATTTATTACGGTCAGTTTGTATGAAGCCTTGTCACAACTTTCAAATTACTGTTTTATCAAATTATCATTTGTGTCCACACACACACACACACACACACACACACACACACACACACACACACACACACACACAACGCGCACCAAATAGTTCGTTGGTACGAAATTTGACGCAAAATTGACGCAAATTTGATGGTGTGAACTGAGCAGTATACAAGTGCTGTCAAATGCGTGTTAAAAAAATTATGAAATTAATATGCACATTATCATACCCTGCCTCAGTGGTTCAATGTTATGTAATAGAAATGCCACAAAATTATTTAGACACGGTAAACGTAAAAGTAATGAGATTTGGTAAACACAAAATTAAGGTGACTTGGTTAACAAAGATATAATGTGACTCGGCAAACACAAAAGTAATTTACACGGTAATTACAAAGGTTATGTGACACGGTAAACACAAAAATGATGTGAATCGGCAAACACAAAAGTAATTTACACGGTAATTACAAAAAGTAATGTGACACGGTAAACACAAAAGTAATGTGACTCGGAAAACAAAAAAGTAATTTGACATTGCAAACAAAAAAGTAATGTGACACAGCAAACACAAAAGTAATGTGACTCAGCAAACACAAAAGTAATGTACACGGTAATTACAAAAGTAATGTGACACAGTAAACCCTCAAGTAATGTGACACGGTAACGCAGAAGTAAGCTGACACGTAAACACAAAAGTAATGTGGCACGTCACAAATCGACTTCTGGGTTGTTAAAGCATTTTTGCTTGTTGTTCTTAAACACCACACTATGTGTGCCAAACATGCACCACACATCCTGTGATAACATTCAACACACCACTTGTTCTAGACATTTAACGCACTACAAGTTCTAACATTCAACACACCACTTGTTCTAGATATTTAACGCGCTACATGTTCTAACATTCAACACACTACCTGTGCTAAACTTTCCGAGTCCTGGTAGCTAGACAGGTCAAATACTTTGGAAACGGCCCTGTTGAAGGTGACGGCTCCAAATCTGACATTGTCGGGGCCAATCGTGAAGCCCCGTGTCAGGTTCGATGTGAACGCGGTTAAGCTCTTCCAGTTGGGAGCACCGATGCTGCTAGAAGCGTCCATCAGAAATATGATGTCGGCCTTTGTGGAATTGCGACATGAGGCGTCTGTAACTTGCGTTGGAGGGATACTGGTGGAAGTGGTAGTCTGAATTTTGTTTGTGGAAATAGGGATTATTGTCGTGGACAAGGTTGTTTCACTACTAGGATTCGTCATTAGGAGACTCTGTTTGGAGGTGTCGAAGATATTATTGCATGGACCAGGGGTAACAGAGACCATATTAATAGTTTTGGTGTTTCCAGACTGGGCACTAGAACTAGTGACAGATGGTTGTATTGCTGGGACAGTTGTATAGTCAACTTTAGATGTAAGAGTTAGTGGCCTTTCGGTGGAAGACGTCTCGGGGTTTGAAGCTGTGGGACTCGTTTCTATTTTGGTAGAAGATGTATCGACATATGAAGTTGTAAGTGGCGGTTGCAATTCACTTAAAGACATCTGAAGTAATGAATTTGTGACAGGGGATTGTATTTCAGAGAACGAGGTCACAAATCCTGAAAACGATAGTGTTGGTAGTATTTCAGAGATAAATGTGTCAGAATTTGAAGCTGTAAGTGTAAGGGTTAATTTTATTTCAGTAGAAGGTGTCTTAACTTCTAAAGTTGTAAAAGGTGGCTGTATTTCAGTGGATGATGTCCCCATTACATAAGTTGTTAGAAGTAGTTGTATTTCAGTGAAAGGCGTCTCAAATACTGAAGTTGTAAGGGATGGTTGTATTTCATTTGATGATATCTCTAGTATTGAAGTTGTAAGACTTTTTTGTATTTCAGTAGAAGATAACTTAACTTCTGAAGTTATAAGAGATGGTTGTATTTGAGTGGAAGATATCTTAAGTTCTAAAGTTGCTTGAGATGGTTCAATTTGAGTAGAAGTTGCCTTAACTTCTGAAGTTGTTAGAGATAGTTGTAACTGAGTTGAAGGTGTCTTAACCTCTGAAATTGTAAGGGGTGGTTCTTTTTGAGTAGAAAGTGTCTCAACCTCTGCAATTGTAACAAGTGGCTCTATTTGAGTAGAAGGTGTTACAAACTCTAAAATTGTAAGAACTGGTTCTGTTTGGGTAGAAGGTGTCTCAACCTCTGAAATTATAACAGGTGTTTCTATTTGAGTAGTAAGTGAATCAACCTTTGAAATTGTAAGAAGTGGTTCTATTTGAGTAGAAGGTGTCTCAACCTCTGAAATTGTAAGAGGTGGTTGTATTTGAGTGGAAGGTGTCTTAACTTCTGAAATTGTAAGAACAAGTTCTATTTGAGTAGAAGTTGTTTCAACCTCTGAAATTGTAAGAAATGGTTCTATTTGAGTAGAACTTGTCTCAACCTCTGAAATTGTAAGAGTTGGTTCTATTTGAGTAGAAGGTGTCTCAATCTCTGAAGTTTTTAGAGTTGGTTCTTTTTGAGTACAAGGTTTCTTAAACTCTGAAATTGTAAGAAATTGCTCTATTTGAGTAGAAGGTGTCTCAACCTCTGAAACTATAAGAGGTGTTTCTATTTGAATAGAAGGTGTCTCTTCCTCTGAAATTTTAAGAGGTGTTTTTTGAGTAGTAGATGAATCAACCTCTGAAATTGTAAGAAGTTGTTCTATTTGAGTAATAGGTGTCTCAACCTCTGAAATTGTAAGAGGTTGTTCTATTTGAGTAGAAGGTGTCTCAAACTCTGAAATTGTAAAAAATGGCTCTATTTGAGTAGAAGAGGTCTCAACCTCTGAAATTGTCAGAAATGGCTCTATTTGAGTAGAAGGTGTCTCAACCTCTGAAATTGTAAGAAATGGCTCTATTTGAGTAGAACTTGTCTCAACCTCTGAAATTGTAAGAAATGGTTCTATTTGAGTAGAAGGTGTCTCAACCTCTGCAATTGTAACAAGTGACTCTCTTTGAGTAGAAGTAGTCTCAACCTCTGAAATTGTAAGAAATTGCTCTATTTGAGTAGAAGGGGTCTCAACCTCTGAAATTGCCAGAAATGGCTCTATTTGAGTAGAAGGTGTCTCAACCTCTGAAATTGTAAGAAATGGTTCTATTTGAGTAGAAGGTGTCTCAATCTCTGAAATTGTAAGAAATGGCTCTATTTGAGTAGAAGGTGTCTCAACCTCTGAAATTGTAAGAAATGGTTCTATTTGAGTAGAAGGTGTCTCAATCTCTGAAATTGTAAGAAATGGCTCTATTTGAGTAGAAGGTGTCTCAACCTCTGCAATTGTAACAAGAGGCTCTCTTTGAGTAGAAGGTGTCGCAACCTCTGAAATTGTAAGAAATGGCTCTTTTTGAGTAGAAGGGGTCTCAACCTCTGAAATTGCCAGAAATGGCTCTATTTGAGTAGAAGGTGTCTCAACCTCTGAAATTGTAAGAAATCGTTCTATTTGAGAAGAAGGTGTCTCAACCTCTGAAATTTTAAGAACTAGTTCCATTTGAGTAGAAGTTGTTTCAACCCTTGAAATTGTAAGAGGTGGTTCTATTTGAGTAGAAGGTGTCTTATCTTCTGAAGTTGTTAGAGATGTTTCTCTTTGAGTGGATGATGTCTTAACTTCCGAAGTTGTAAGAAATGGTTGTATTTTAGTGGAAGGTGTCTTAACTTCTAAAGTTGTTAGAGATTGTTGTATTTGAGTGGAAGGTATATTAACTTCTGAAGTTGTTAAAGATGGTTGTATTTCAGTGGATGGTGTCTTAATCTCTGAAGTTGTAAGAGATGGTCGTATCTCAGTGGAAGCTGTCTTAACTTCTGGCGGTGTTAGAGATGGTTGCATTTGAGAGGAAATTGTCTTAGCTTCTAAAGTTGTAAGAAATTGTTCTATTTCAGTGGAAATTGTCGTAGCTTCTGAAGTAGTAAGAGATGATTCTATTTCATTCGACGAAAACTGAATTACTGATATTATAAAAGGCTGTTGTACTTTTGAGGAAGATGTCTCAAGTATTGAAATTTTAATAGAGGATTTTATTTCAATTGATGATACATCAATTATTGAAGTTGTCATTGGCGATTGTATTTCAATGGAATACATTTCATCATTTGAAGTTGTTAGAGGTGGTTCTGTTTCAATAAAGGATGTCCCTGGTACAGAAGTTGTAAGAAATGATGTTATTTCAGTTGAAGTTTTCTTAATAATTGAAGTTATAAGTGGCTGTTGTATTATAGTGGAATTAGTCTCTACTACTGAAGTTGTAAGAATTCGTTGTAGTTCACTGGAAGATGCCTCAAGTACTGAAGTTGTTAGAATTCGTTGTAGTTCACTGGAATATGTATCAAGTACTGAAGTTGTAAGAATTCGTTGTAGTTCACTGGAAGATGTCTCAAGTACTGAAGTTGTAAGAGGTGGTTGTGTTTTCTCTGCAGCCGATAGTTCAGCTGAAGTGCTAAGCTGCTCTGTGATATCTGAAGCAGATGTCAGACCACCGGAAAGAGTAAGAGATGATTTGACACTTGGAGCGATTGTCAGATATACAGTTTGTGTTTCAGTAACAGAAGTTTTAACATTTGGCTTTTTCGTAAGAGTTGATTTAATTTTGGTCGTGAAAGTTTTCATGTTTGTTGTTTGTGTAAGAGATGGATGGATTTTAATGAGAGTAGATGTCTCGACATCTGAAGTTATGGCGAGAGATGGCTGTATTTTGGTTGTAAAGGCCTTGACATTGGATATTGTAAACGTCTTTGCAGTTGAAGTTCTAGTGACAGCTGGTTGCAGTTTAGAATGAGATGTCTGGACATTTGACCCTGTGTAGACAGATGGCTGTAAATTGAAAGAAGCCGATACAGGATCCTCATTTGACATTGTTGAAGACTGCTGTATTTCAGGAGCAGTTGTCGCACTATCGATGTCCAGTTCAGCAGTGGAAGTGCTTGGCGCCTCGGTTGATGGAAAAATTGTAGGCTTACTCTCTAGATAAAATGTCGAATACTCTCTGATCAGAATTGTCGCAGAACTTTCCATGCTTGTCGTCATCAATGAGGATGCGGTAACGATACAATTTGCCGGCAAGGAATCTTGTTCTAAGCATTTTTGAAAAAAATAAATAAGTGGTCAAAATTTTACTTCAATTTTTCTTTTCCAAAAATAATACAAGGTCATGCGGTTTCTTTTATAAAAGCATATTTACTCAATAAATGCTGCATCTAAACATTTAGACTCTTTGGAAAAAAAGTCTCCATTATATAAACGGATCATGGTTACAATTATAATAGATATATGTATATCATTAACGTTTTAAAAATACTATAAACAAAGTAATACAATTTGTAAATATAATAATAATAACATGTGTTTGTCTTATGAAATATTTAAATGGAAGAATGAAGACGGGTGCTTATCTTATCAGGTTTAAACAGACAAGACTGACCGTCACATTTCATTTGATAAAACTCGGTCTTGATGCATGCGACCAGGCCGAAATGACATAAAGAGAAGACGTAATCCGGACAGCTGGCTATGGACTCCAGTTCCTCCAGGTTTGGCTTCATGCCAACAGCTACTGTCAAGATCGTTACATCATCATCTTTAAGCTTCCGAGCTACTTTTAACGCTGTGAGAAAAATGAATGTGTCCCCAATGAAGTTATGTGTATGGAAACATGACATCCTTTTACAGTAACATTTTATACATTGAGGTTGTTTAAATCTTTTCTTGCTAACAATCTTGAAAATGATTTCAGTTTTGAAAATGATAAAATAAATATAGTGGCTGGTATAAAGGATTTGGGAGCAATGCTGCACTCTAACTAAGCTCACTAACTAAGAACACTAACTTAACACTCTAACTAAACACTCCAACTAAACACTTTAACTAAGTACACTAACAAAAAACTCTAACTAAACCCTCTAACTAAACACTCTAACTAAGCACACTAACTAAACACTCTAACTAAACCCTCTAACTAAATCCTCTAACTAAACACTCTAACTAAGCACACTAACTAAACACTCTAACTAAACACACTAACTTAACACTCTAACTAAACACTTTAACTAAACACTCTAACTAAACACACTAACTAACCACACTAACTAAACTCTCTAACTAAACACTCTAACTAAACACACTAACTGAACACTCTAAATAAACACTCTAACTAAGCACACTAACTAAGCACACTAACTAAACATTCTAACTAAACACTCTAAATAAACACTCTAACTAAGCACACTAACTAAGCACACTAACTAAGCACACTAACTAAACACTCTAACTAAACACTCTAACTAAACACTCTAAATAAACACTCTAACTAAACACACTAACTAAACACTCTAACTAAACACACTAACTAAGCACACTAACTAAACACTCTAACTAAACACACTAACTAAACACTCTAACTAAGCACACAAACTAAGCACACTAACTAAACACTCTAACTAAACACACTAACTAAACACTCTAACTAAACACACTAACTCAACACTCTAACTAAACACTCTAACTAAACACTCTAACTAAACACTCTAACTAAACACTACAACTAAACACTACAACTAAACACTCTAACTTAGCAGAAAATCAACGAGGACACTAAATGAAGTACAATAATGATTCAATTCATGTTTTATTGAATCATTAAAAGAATCTTATCGTATCTTATCTTTAAGCTTGAAATGTCCCCCCTCTTTTAAATATGCAATTCAATGTGCTGAAAATTAATATTTTAATAACTCAATAATATCACATTTCAGATTATTAGGATCCATAAAAGAATTACAACTTATCTTTTTATTATCTTATCTTAATACTTGACTATGTCACTGGATCAGTAAGCTGATACGCTAATTCTGTAGATAATTAAAAGTATTACAGTATCAGGGCTTACATTGTCTATGTTTTTAGATAATCATTGATATGTTAACCTACATTCTGTAATGTATATTTTAAATAAACTCATTGACCTACTTTGTTGAAAGCTCCTGGGGTGCCCGTCAGTCATGACGATGATGAGGCGTTGAGCCCCTTCCCTCCCACCATGTTCAGGGTCGAACATTTTCTCTGATCGAATGGCGCCCAGACCTCGGTGAGTGTTGCCACCACGCGCCCCGGGATAAGACAAACCAAGCAACGCCTTTTTTTGTGTTACAGAAAGAAAAATCATTTCTTTTTATTCTCTTCCAGGGGTGTCATTTCATGTTTTTTCAAAGGGGGGCGGGGGAAACTTGGTCGGCTTGCTACGTTGTTTATTACTGAAGGCGCCACAGTACATAGCATTTAAATAAAACCTGGAAATTCAGGAGGAGCAAATGCCCCACCCTGCCCTACCCAAATGACGCCCCTGCTCTTCTCTAAATCCATTTCATCAGGAACAAAACATCCAGCAAGTAAAAAATAAAACTTTAACTTTATTTTAGTATAAGACAATGAAATAAATTATTCAAAATGCTGTACAGGGTTGACACTATTGTCAGGTGATTTTTATTTTAATCTGCTGTTGGGCTTTATATTTATGATTGATTGTGGACAATTTATTTGTTTATAAATAAATAAAGGCATTTATGTATCTTACGACAGTGAGAGATTGGTGGTCGGAAAATGTGTCCAAATCAAACTGCTTTATCCCCTTTCTGTGGAAGATGACGGTAGCAAATCTGACGTCCTTTCCGATGTTGAACTCGTCGGTGATATCAGCGGCGAACTGTAGCATGGTCTCAAAGTTGTGCCTACCAATGTTCACGGACCCGTCCAATAGAAATATGATATCTGCCATAATGTTTGGATGACAGACTGTCGTCCATTCTTTGGTTTCTGGAATTGAAAACAAGCAAATTAAAATGTTTTCAACACATAAGCTTGATTAGATTACATAATGGATATTTACTTATTTATCAAAGTGGATAAGTCATGAAATATGAAATATTTTATTGCATCGCATACAAAATGTATTAAAATCTCTACGGGACGCCAAACTCAATTTCTCCCTAAGCGTCCCCCCTCCTGGCCCCCACCCACTCAATCCAAGTTTATCTAATTTCAGTTATACAATCGCTAAAATATGAATTACTAACAGAAAAAAACCCGAAAGAATATAGGCCGGACACATGGCATATCTCAGTAGTAAGACAATACTCAAAAGTAAAAACATTACAAGAAAAACAAAGAAAACTATATATAACGCTGTTATCAGACCAGTTTTAACATACCCTAACAAAACGGTAGAAAACATACTAAACAGATGTGATAGAAAAGTTCTCCGGAAATTATGGACCGACAAAGTACGAATATGGATGGGGAATACGAACCAACCAGAAATTGTACAGTCTGTATCAGAATCCCGTGCTAGTAGCAGAAATAAAAAAGAGTAGGCTACGCTGGGCAGGACACTTGGAAAGAATTCCAAATGACAGAGGAGTCAAGAGATACATCACAAAACCCCCAGATGTAAACGGCTCAAAGGCAGAACTAGGCTTAGATGGAAGAATGATGTGGGAAAAGAACTACAGCAGCTGGGAATCCAAGCATGGAAAAGAAAAGTATCAGGTCTGAGTGGAAGGAAGTAGTGAGGCAGGTCAAAACCCTACTTGGGCTGTGGTCCCACAGGGGTGGATGGACTCACTAAAATAAATGAATTTGTGCTCTTTCTTGTTCACATTTTCCCTAAAGCACTAGGTCAAGTTGCGATGCCATACAATTAAACAAGATCGCAATTTCTTCGCTTTTTACAACCTTTGGTAGCCCGATAAAAGGATTAATCAGTGAGTTACTAGTTTTTTCCAACACGTGTTAGCCTGGCATAGATATTAAAAGATAATAAATGAATGAATGCATTCAAGCTGCGTGAATGAAATAGTATAAGAAGATATATTGAAGCTTGAATCAAAAGACAGGAGAAAAAGATGAGAACGTTTCTTCTTAGAGCTTTCTTCACCGAACAGGACAAATGAAAATACGACAACAAACAGAGCACAATATTAAAAAAAAATGTTTAAAGATCTCCTTTGTTGTTGCCGGCTATTAACCCATGAGCTCTAAGCTTTTTACAACCCCTGGTAACCTGGTGTAGATATTAATCCATAAAACTGCATTTAAATATGTGCGTATTTAGAGTGTAAAATATAACACTGACCGAACCATTGTTGTCTATACTATGACACCTATATAACCACTCCCTGTCTATACTATGACCCCTATATTACCACTCCCTGTCTATACTATGACCCCTATATTACCACTCCCTGTCTATACTATGACCCCTATATTACCACTCCCTGTCTATACTATGACCCCTATATTACCACTCCCTGTCTATACTATGACCCCTATATTACCACTCCCTGTCAATATAATGACACCTATATTACCACTCCCTGTCAATGCAATGACCCCTATATTACCACTCCCTGTCTATACTATGACCCCTATATTACCACTCCCTGTCAATACAATGACCCCTATATTACCACTCCCTGTCTATACTATGAACCCTATATTACCACTCCCTGTCTATACTATGACCCCTATATCACCACTCCCTGTCAATACAATGACCCCTATATTACCACTCCCTGTCTATACTATGACCCCTATATTACCACTCCCTGTCTATACTATGACCCCTATATTACCACTCCCTGTCACTATATGTAAAATCCACTGACATAATTTATGAAAGTCGAAAAAAAATGACTAGCCGAAATAAAAAATGGATTTTTATTTTAAAAAAAGAAACAGGACCGTGGCAGATAAAAGAAGGGAACGCAAAATCCTTTATTTTATTATTAATAACTATAGATATAGCCGGCCAAACATGGGCGACAACAATGCGTGAACTTCCCATCTAGTAAAGTTACTTGACAAAACATGAACTCAAGTAACGCACATTTAAAAGAATCCCAAAATTTGCTACACCCCTTCCCCCATGAGACGTCACTGCACACTTTTTATTTCACGCCCATGAACTAAAATAATATTCTCATGTCCCAAACACTTTTAAACCGAATACTTTGTATACAATACTTAAATTGAGACGATTTCATTTCCGAAAAGAAAATGTTACGCACCAAACGCAATTGCGTTACTAAATATATATATATATCTAGGCTTGGATTCAAAAACACTTGTTATAATGCTTGTACTTAGTTTTTGTCGTGTTGCATTTGTTTTAAATGTGGTAAACTATAGATTTGTTTTTTTTTTACTTTGTACCGCGCTTCGAGCCTTTGGGGATGAAGCGTGTTTTTGAAATGAACTTTATTATTATTATTATTATATATATATATTATATATAGCGTAGTTATCGGGAATTATATTTTTCACGCTAGTGAACTCCTTATTGAACCACACTCTGGCGTATCTATAAATAGACTGCGTCTTGTTTGAACCGTCGTATAGATATTATTTGACACGATTTTGATCCAGAATGGATTCACTCTTTCCATTGCTTTACTTCTAGCTTAAGTTTCTAGCCAAATGTGTTTAAATCAATAGTAATATTTAAATAAACAATAACTCTACTTAAATAATTTACTGGGGCCTATTAACCACTTTTTGAGAATAGAAGAACTGTTGTAAGGGGTGGGAGGGGCTAACACAAAAATAGTTTTAGTAATAATTTGCATAATTTTTATTTTAAATTTATCAAAGCCTTATTATTTAAATTTGGATTTGAGATTATTTTTTTTCAAAAGCAGCTCACATTAAAATAGTGAAAACTAAGCTTAAAATCATGTGCTCTAGTTTATAGCGAGTGCAATTTGTGCATAACATGGAATTATGTGCTGCTAATCACATCTAAATAGCAGAGGCGCCCCTTTCACGGGGCGTCAACTAGGCAACTAAATCGGTGTGGAAAAATTGGCATCCCTATTGTAAGAGCAGACACGTCTGAAGAAGCGTTCAGTAGCAGCGCCGTACGTTCCCGCACAGGGTAGTACCGTGTTGCGTCCATCTTATGACTAATGGTGTGTGGGTTGTGTCTCGGTGTATTCCAAAGGGAGCACAAACAACACTCACCATCTATATTAAACATTTTTTTTTACATCCCAAATACTTTCCTTTGACCACCGGAATCTCCTGATCCAGGCATTTCCCATAAACCAAGAAGCGTTTCGTCTATTCAACGCATTCTCAGGAACATATTATCGAAAAAAAACATTTCATAACATCCTCTATAATTACCAACATCTCATTACTTACGAAAAACAACATCGCATTATTACAATACGGATTTACTTGGAGATAGGTTAGGTAAAATGCTACGGATATATATTAAATTTAAATCAAATTTGTTCAGAACCATTAGGTCTCCTTTATAGACATTGATGATATAATATATCTATATTATATCTTTTTTTATCTGTCTCTTGTGTTACGCACTGACTTGTATTGGGAGAAATTAATGTCCTGTTTTAATTTGAATTTGGCTCGTTATAAACAGTGCCTAACAAAGGACGATACCATAGAATCAACAATATTAAAGATACGACCCAAAACAGTTTCTAGTTACAATTAATTAAGATTTATTATGTCTTAAGATAATTACAAAAGAAAAGAAAAAATATAAGTACAATCTTCAACTTACAGTATGGTAGATCTTGTACCGGTACACAGTTAATACAATTAGAAATAATGATGCCAATAAATAATGCGAAATAAACACATATAAGTAGGAGCACACAAATAATAAAACACGCCTCGTAATGTTAAGAAAATCTATCTGAAAAAAATATCCATCCCTCGTCGTGCCTGTCAATCCCCTATATATATGTAGAGTAAGACGCTTCCAGAAGGGCTTATGACGTGTTGTTTACATATCTCGGGTTAAGGAGTATATTCCAGAAATTACCCGGAGACAATTATCTACCCAATGCGTAATTGGAAGCCGATTGTAAACAAGATACTTCAAAGGTCTAAGCCACACCCCTTTGTGAACACAGCGTCTCATGCGGGGTCAATCAGAGGGCACGCACGAGAAATATTATGTAAACAAGCTCTCTATAACACTTGTGATAAAAATTCTTAAATTAATATTTACTTAAACAACCTTGTTGTAACGTGAGGCCGACAAAACAAGCAAGAAGTAGACAGGGAAAACACTTCATTCTGTTTGAGAATCTGTAGCCCATCAACATCATCAGATAGCCCTATAAAGAGAAATTGCTTTACTTGATCTTGGAATTTTTTTTTTTTTTTTTTTTTTTTTTTAATTTTTTGTCCTTTTTTTAAAATTTTTTTTTTTTTTTTTTTTAAGATTATGGCTCGTTTTCAAAAATTATTTCTTCTACACTACAAATAAAGTTCACTCGCTCTCAGAAACAGCCAGACACTGGAGTCCTTTAAAACCGATTTAAAAAAACATCTATTTCGCAAACACCTTCTGGGGTGATGCCATCTACCATCTTTTCCAGTTAATGTATATTGGCTTGTGTTGCTTATGGTTGAAACGGGATGAAAGACTTTGACTGGGTATGCTCGTATGTAGTTTTATATTGTTGTGTCTGTTTTTAAATGTGGTAAATTTTACATTGTTTTATTTCTTTTTAATGTGGTTGACTTTGTACCGAGCTTCGAGCTTTTGGGGATGAAGCGTGTTTTTCAAATAAACTTTATTATTATTATTATTACATGACATAGGTACACAGAAGAAGAAAGGGATACTGCGTTTCTTGATAAACAGGGGGATTTGTTGTTGTTGTTTTTGTTTTTCGCTCTACTTGATGAAAATGTTAGGCCTTTTGCCTAGTACAGTCATTGTCAGCGTGGGGCATTCTTACAGGGGGCAGTCTAAAGAGTGTTTGTGGAGAGGAGGGAGGACATTTAGTCCGTGAACTAGGGGTCAAGGTATTTGTGTTTTATATAGTGTGGGTGGGGTGAATGCTCCTGTTAGATAGGACACTTTTTTTTAAAAGTTAAACATTTTTATTGTTTGTCATTTGTTGCAACATAAAAATATAAAACTTAATGTAAGTTTAAAATTTTTCACTTATTTTAAGTTTAAAAGGGTTCACTTATTTTAAGTTTCGGCTTACAACGCTGAAGAGGCTGAGAAATTCAAATTGCCATTTCCTAACGGGAGCATGTTGGGCAATCTTATTCTTTATTTCCAGCTCTTTCAATAGGGTGGGGGGGGGAGGGCATTACATATCTTTGGGTGCCAATGTGGTGTGTGGCCAAAAAAAATGACCTAGTGTTTCGAACTAGGTCATAACAGGCTACATCCCATGGACGTTTAAAACCCGAGGTTTTTAAAGTGAAAAGTCTAAAATAGATAGAGACATGGGCGCCCGCAGCCCCCCCCCCCCCCCCCCCGCGGTTGGGGAAAAAAAATAAAAAAAAAAAAAAAAAAAAAAAAAAAAAAAAAAAAAAAAAAANACTAAAAAAATTTTGCCCCCCCCCCCCGGAAAGTTAATCGATTTTTTTGTCCCCTCCCCCCTAGAAAGTTTTCTGCGGGCGCCCATGGATAGAGACACGACAAAGGAAAAAGCCTAATAATGTGTATTAGTTTTAAAAAATGTCTGATGTGTTGTTGTTGTTTTTTCAAATTGTAACCCGTTTAATGTTACTTTTTGTAAGTGACCAAGACTTGCTTTAGCTTTTTACATTTCTAAATGTGTGTGAAATAGCAGTAGGCCTAGCAGGTTTCCCTACTTACAGTTTAAGTCTGATTTAAATGGTTTTTTAATACCTAAGAGCATACCGTATAAGTTAATGAACTCCTAACTAAATGAGTTCGTATCTTTGGTATTTCAAGGAAATCTTTCGATGAGGATAACATTATTATTAATTGATTTAAAAATTACTGTTTAAGAAAAACAATATCCTATGGAATATATGTTTGAAAGAATCTTATAGAGTTTTTAGAAAATTAACATAGACACTACAAATAAAGTCCATTCGTTTTTTAATTATTATTTTTCTAGGTACAATTGAGTGAGTAGTCCCTGCGCACTGCTTTTTTTGTTTTGTTTTAGACTTTTAGAGCATTTTCAATCATTTTTTTAAATTTAAATCAATCATTCGTTGACATTGTTTCATGTTAATAGTGTTATATAACTAATAACAATGATTAATAATCAATGTTTTTCATTGATTATAAATTGTCAAGTACACAACAGCATTGTCAAAATCAAAACTGGCACTAGACTGACACTAGACAGGAATAATTTTAAAACTATTGAATGGTAATTGGTTGGACTACTTAGACTTGACTTAGGACTTAGTCTTTACCTTTGTTATAGTTACTGAGTTACTGTTACAGTTAGGCCTATTTAAATAGTATTTGCTATTTCTGTCTGATCTAATTCATTTAGACTACATACTATATTATTCATCGTTCACTGTTTGTTTTAGCCTGTCTCGGTTTCTATTTTAATTTTAGTTTAGATTAGAAAGAGAACTTTGTGGTCTGCAAGCAGTGTCTCAGCCCTAGGCCTATAGTCTATAGCCTATTAGTATAATTATATCACAATCACATGTCTATCTTAACCCTCTTGAGACGGCTGGGCTCATTTGAGTCAAATTGTAAAAAAAAATTAAAAAAAAGACCAATCCATCGGCCCATTAATAAAAGTCTTACTGTAATTATCCAAAGCATTCAACAAGATTCACTTTTTCGTAGTCAGAGTTTCAACACTAGATTGTATTTGAAGCTTCCTGTCAGAGAGAGCATAAAGGGTAGTACTCGAAAGAGTTACTTCTCGACTGTCACAAGGCACAGTATTAGGATCCCTTCTATTCTTCTTATATATCAATGATCTTTTAGAGGCAATTACTAGTGTAAAAATTTTTACAGATGATATTTTACTTTATAGAAAAGTTAAGAATCAAGATGACCAGGTCCTCCTCCAACAAGATCTGGTAGCTTTAGAGAATTGGTATCGTAACTTGCAGATGGAATTCAATCCCAGCAAAGGTGTAGTCATCAATATCTGATCTAGAAAAAAGGAGGAACTTCTACCATCCATTTATTATCTTCATAGACGCAAACTCAAAACAACTCAAAGCAAGTACCTGGGAGAACTTTCAAGACAACCTCACAAGGAGCAAAAATATTCATAACATATCTGCAGATGGAAACAGCATAGTTGGTTTCTTGCAGAGGAATTTCAGGGAATGTACACCAAAAGTGAAAGCGGCAACCTACAAATTCATGGTCCATCCCACCCTTGAATATGCCTCAACTGTGTGGGATCCACATAGACAGTGAAACTAAACTGTCCTAGAGATTGTGCAGAGACATGCTGCGAGATATTTCTACCACAACTTTAGAGACAGAGTGACACAGTCACACGCATGCTTAACAACTTTGGATGGACCATCCTAGAAGAAAAAAGGAGAATCAACAGACTAGGGATCTTGTACATAATCAATAATAGCATAACTGAGATCATCAAAGCTGAATTCTTTAAACTCTTGGATGAAAGAAAAGAGGAACAAAAATTCATCAAGAGCAAGATTTCCACCCTGCCCTGTTCCATTCATTCGTACCTCTGACAATCTCTGAGTGGAGCAATCTCCCCCTTGCCAACACATATTCCCCTTCCTGTAGTCATTCAAGTCACAGCTCTGTGGTAGCGGACCCCTGCAGTCAGCCTCCCCCCAATCCCTAAGCCCCCAATGTCTTGTAAATGGTTTTAACTTTTTAGCTCCACTATTTCACCAAGCATACTCCCTCCCTCCAGCTCCACCTCCCCCCACCCCAAGCAGGGCTTTTTAACCTTCATACATGACTTGCACAGACTGCATCAAATGGGCCTGCTGTGTATGGACATCACGATGGGACCTTCAACATTTGAAAGAGCCCAGTGCTTACGGGAAGAAGAAGTAGATTGGTTGGCTTTTCTTTGTACCAGCTAATCAGATTGTTTCTGGCAAGTTTAGCTCATCTTGCCATTTTAATGGTGACTTCCACTGATAGTTTACGGTGTTCAGTCATTTTATATCAGTCTTTTTTTTTTACCTAGTGACCCCTATAAATGCTAAAAAACCATGTGACTTTGAAATAAGCCAAGAGGCATAAGCACCTCCATTGGAATATTATATGCAGTTTTTCACATTGAATCTCATTCAAATGTTTGTGAATACTTATATTTAGGCTTCAACAATTATGAAATTTAACAAAATTCTGAAATGCATGTTTATTCTAAGTGTAACAAAAAATTGGCATACATAAATATGCAAATCGGGATATCTCATTTACATAACTATTGAGATTTCAGTTTGGGTCATAAAGATCATATCAATTCATTCAATGCCCTACAAGAATAAACAAAATTTTAGATTTGTAAACTAATTAGTTTATTTTATTAAAAAATTGTGCGAAGTTATAGCAGGGCTTGTGAAAAGGGCCCTGACAGTCCAAAAAGGCTGCACCTCACGAGGCCAATCTAGTCTAACTCAATATATATTACTACTACTATTGTTACACAGTCAACTTTTTTAAAATTACATTTAATTAAGCCTAGGAATATAAATACTAAAATCAATAATGTTCTGTAACAACTTTTCAAAATCATTAAGATGTGTATTACATTTAGTTTCATTTAGCAAACATTAAAATCATAATAAAAGTAAAAGCAGGAGTAGCCCTACTGCTCCTAGATATTGTGATTATGATATTGATAGTGTTGCACCAAATAATCTGCAGTTTCCAGTCACAAACCTAACAAGGAAAAAATTTAAGTAAATTAAGCTTTGCATGCAAACAGCTTTAAGTTTCATTTCAATAATTTATCAATCATGTTTAAGTTTAAGGGGGACTTTTACAATATTTATTTATTTTCTGGTATTTACTAAATCTGCCATTTATAGACTATTCTTATAGTATTAGTATGCATCTAAATTATATATTTGCATGCTTTGACATGGTTCTCTTAACCAGTATGACTGCTGGTTAGGTCAACTTTTAAGGATTTGTTTTCAAAAGACACTGGCTTCCTAAACTTTTTTCAACTCCAACTAAATATTTGCCTGTAATCGTTGTCATCTTATTTGATTTCCTGGCATGCTTCTTCAGCCCTTGTTAATTTTACTTTTTCTTTCCCATAGAATACTACACCATTGAATTGACTCAAGACAAATTAATCAAATCTTTAGACCTCACTAATATCACTTCATGCCAAAATAGTCTTAATACAGTTGGTCAACTGAAGATCTTTTTGAGCTGTGTAAGAAGCACCAGGTGACCTGATATGATTCCTAGGTAAAAATCTATTTAAATCTGTTTTGTTAATCAATATTGTAGATGAGGGGTCCTTAAACTATGGCCGGCAGACCAGATCTGACCTGGTTGTGGCCCTTAACCTCATCTGTGGTGACATGTATGAAACTGAACATTGACCATCTTTACGCCAAAAGCCTGGCCCATACTTTTATTTGAAAGACCCATAGCTTTATGGCAAATATGTTGATTTATATTGTTACGCAGTAAAAATATTGTATTGTTTTTTCCTGTTCGATTTGCACTAAACATAGGAATTTGTGCATATTTTATTTTAAACTGTAGTCTGATCCACAAACAGTGTCTGAGGCCCCCCTGTTTATGAAGTTTTAGAACCCCTGTCATAGTCTACGGTTATAATGAATTTGTTTAACTTTATTTCAGTGTATTGGTTGGATGTCACGGTTTTTAAAAAATGTGAAAAACTTGTGTTTGAAAAATGATTTTTTGTAAAGACTGCATGATTTAAATACGCATATAATTGACAGGAGTAATCAAATGTTTATTGATGTATAATAGGATTTGTTTTGATTTACCTGTTATTTTTCATAAAGTACTGTTTTACTTTTCAAATTCAGGTCTATTCTACGGTTACATGTTGTTGTCCAACATCTGGTAAGTCTTGACCTTTCATTGGATTTCTTAGCTCACTTGATTAAAATTTGTGTTTATTTGAATTTTTTTGTGGCTCATGGTTTAATTTTTAAAATGAAATTGATAATTCAAAAATGAAGTGAGAAAAAAGCTTATTTTCATCATCATTTTTTAATGTAGCAAAGCAATAATTAGGTCTCTTGTTTAAACATTGAAATTGTAACAAATAACCTAATTACCATTATTAAGTTAATACAAAAAAATGATCTAGAATAAAATTAAGTTTAAAAGCTGAAATGTGTCTTAAAAGTATTCTAGCAAGAATATGATGTAGTAATAGGTAAATTCAATCAGTATTGCAATGCTATTATAATAATCACACTTAGCAGATAACACGCTTTTCAGTCATTTCCTTTATCATGTTCAAATGCCAATTATTTTTGCTATTGAAACACTGTAGTTTAAAATATAATTTTTTTTTTATAATTGTTTTTGTTGGAATTTTTTTGTCAAAAAAAAGGATGATTTATCCCATCTAATTTAAATTGCTATTATTTCCATTCTGCCCAGAAAATGTCTCAGATGTCATCAAAAGCTGGGGAGGAAATACTTTTTCAAGTAATTAACAACACAGGGGTAATAACTCTCAACAGACCCAAGGCCCTGAATGCTCTGAACCTTTCCATGGTTCGCAAGATGTTTTCACAAATGATGGTAAAGAAACAGTGATTGTGGTCTTATATCTAAAGGAATCTTTGTCCATTTTTCATTTAGACTTTTAATAAGAAGTTGAGGACGTCAAAAATTGATGAATCAATAAATCCAGTTTATACTAAACAACATTATTTATCATTATGTATGTTAAATAGTGCATGGATTGTAAAAAAAAAAAAGTAACGCTGTTTATTTTAATAAAGGTGGTCCAGTATTTGTGTGCTGCAACAAGAACTTTCTTACTGTTTACTTACCTTCACTTAGTCCCTGTCACACGACATGTTCGGTCTTACTGCCCCAATCAATAACTGCTGAACTATTGAACATGTTTTGTGAAACTAATTAAAAACAGCTGCTGGTAATCAACAACGTTATTGGTGGCAAGAGAGCACAAAGTCTAAAATGATGGCGTTGATAGGAGTAACATAGGAAAATATTCCATAAACTTAAACGACCCACTCTCAAACAAGTGATACAACTGATTAACAGCACATACATTTTTAAAATTGTCAAAATAGCTTAATTTCTGAAATAAGCCGTGGTATCACAGCAAGAACGGGGGGGTGGGGGTTGGTGGTGTAATCTTTAACTCAGTTAATCTCTAACCCAGTTAATCTCTAACCTTGACTTGTTGAACTATTAGTTGTGCTGTTGTGGATCTTCTGCCTCATTTTCAGCACCTTTAGTTTACATTAGAATAATAATAGTAAATTGTTTGATCCATTTTTAAAATGGTAAAAAAACATGACTTTTTAAATTCAAAACAAATAAGTGTCATTTATCATTATGAATTAAATGTTTGGCTTTCATTTCTGTTACAATTACCACCAAGACAATGAAGAAGAAAAAATAATTTTTTTTTTAATTTAATCAAATCTGTGCAATTTGAGAAATGGGAAGAAGATCCAAATATAGGACTGGTATTCATCAAAGGTGAAGGGGAGAAAGCTTTCTGTGCTGGGGGAGATATTAGAGGTAACATGTTTTTTTATTATTCACTTAGATTTTTTAGTTATAATCTGTATCCTTATTCTATTTTCTAACAATATATTACATTTTTAAAAAACGAAATATTTCTTTTTATGTGGTAGACCAGTGCTGCTAACCCAATTTGTTCCTACTGACTGCCGGCAAAATGATTAGCGTAACCATGTGTCATAATTGTCAGGGCTTATTAAAATTTTCTTGGTTTTTTGTATAGTTTCACTCGAGGTATCAACATTTTTCTGATGTGGCTCCTCAGGTGGTTTTGAGACTCTTAATTAGACCATATATTTCTTGTTTGATTTATTCAAATTTTAACAGATTAAATGAAATGAAATAACTAATTAAGTGTTTCAGCACTTTACTGCAATGTTTTTTGTTTGCAGCGGTGACGGAGGCAGGGAGGAAAGGAGACAGTTTAGCCCAAGACTTTTTCAAAGAGGAATACATTCTCAATCACAAAATTGGTAATTTGATGCCATTTACAGCTCATCTATTTGATTGGGATTGCTGTGTTCAAGTATAATAAATATGAATTCACTAGTCTGTGCATCAAGTTCTAATAATGACACAGGCTGGATAAGTTATGTGAAGACCAACTTGTAAACGCTTCTTTGAGTCATGATAAAAGATTTGAAAACATACTTGGTGTTTATTCCAATGTCCATGTCATTTCATTGTTATAGGGTTTATTTAAACAAGTAATGTTATGGTTTGTTTGAAATCTTAGCATGCATTGTTATGGTTTGTTTGAAATTTAAGCATGCATTGTTATGGTTTGTTTGAAATCTAAACATGCATTGTTATGGTTTGTTTGAAATCTAAACATGCATTGTTATGGTTTGTTTGAAATCTAAACATGCATTGTTATGGTTTGTTTGAAATCTAAGCATGCATTGTTATGGTCTGTTTGAAATCTAAGCATGCATTGTTATGGTTTGTTTGAAATCTAAACATGCATTGTTATGGTTTGTTTGAAATCTAAACATGCATTGTTATGGTTTGTTTGAAATCTAAACATGCATTGTTATGGTTTGTTTGAAATCTAAGCATGCATTGTTATGGTCTGTTTGAAATCTAAGCATACATTGTTATGGTCTGTTTGAAATTTAAAGATGCATTGTTATGGTCTGTTTGAAATCTAAAGATGCATTGTTATGGTCTGTTTGAAATCTAAGCATGCATTGCTATGGTTTGTTTGAAATCTTAACATGCACAGTGATATGGTTTATTTGAAATCTAGACATGCATTGTTATGGTTTGTTTGAAATCTAAACATGCATTGTTATGGTTTGTTTAAAATCTAAAGATGCATTGTTATGGTTTGTTTGAAATCTAAGCATGCATTGTTATGGTCTGTTTGAAATTTAAAGATGCATTGTTATGGTTTGTTTGAAATCTAAACATGAATTGTTATGGTTTGTTTGAAATCTAAACATGCATTTTTGTGGTTTGTTTTAAATCTAAACATGCATTGTTATGGTTTGTTTGAAATATAATTTTGATTAATTAATTAGACACAAACAATTTGTGTCAATATAACAATGTATGTTTTGCTTTAATTAATAACTTTAAATAGTAAACCTAATAAAATTAAATTTAATTTACACTTATTTAAATGTTTTGTTGTTATACCTATGAAGGCATTTGCTGAAATGTTTACTTGTGTATTATGTAAAATTATAATTAAAGCTAAACATATAATGTTATATTGACACAAATTGTTGGTGTCTTAATTAATGAATATATTTCAAAGTTTTATCACAGTCCAACATTTTTATAATTAGTTATTTGAAATCTAAACTATTTGTTTGAAATATACACATGCATTGTTATTGCTTTAAACAACAAACTTCTGCTCACCTCAGAGAATTAATAGAATTGAATTACTTTTAAATAGTTTAGACTGATATTAGCCTAGGACTTTTACATATGTCATTGGATCAACTTACTTAAAAGCTTGAACACTTTTTGTACAACCATTTAGCCAAATCTTCTTATCTGTAATTTTTAAGGTAACTACAAAAAGCCATACATTGCTCTCATAGATGGAATTACCATGGGTGGGGTAAGTTGGCTAAGAGCAATATTTATTTTTAATGTTAGTTTTACAAATAATTTCATTGTAAAATTCATCCTTGAATTTAAAAAAACAACTAATTTCAGTGAAAACCTTTATGTTGTTAGTTCAGTGAAAACCATATTGTTCTTAGAATTCTGAAAACCATATTGTTGTTAATTATAAAAAATAATAATGTTGTTAGATTGTGCAAGCCATTATGTTTATAGTATGGTGAAAACCATAGTGTTGTCAGTACTGTGAAAACCATAAGGTTGAAGTAAAATGTGAAACCATATTGTTGGGTACTTATTGTGCTAATGAAAACTTGTGAGCATCACAATGGTGGCATCATTATGTTCCTGAGTGTGTGTGCCTCATTGTCTTGCACAACAGCAAAATCAATTCCTCTAGATGCTATGTGAAAAATGTCCTGCACTGATCAGTTAGGAATCTCTTACTAACTGATTTATGGCAGATAATATATTTAGGAAAACAGTCAAATATTTTTCAAAATTTATTTTTTAAAGGTATTCAAAAAGATTTCTATTAAGCAATAAGGCTAAGATGTTAAGATGATAAGATCTTTAAAAAAAAAAAAAGGAAATGGCATTCTGCCTAAAGGCAAACAACTTGAGATCCACTGCTATACACACTTGTATTTTTTTAAAAATTTATTTTTTAAAGGTATACAAAAAGATTTCTATTAAGCAAAAAGGATAAGATGTTAAGATGATAAGATCTTTAAAAAAAAAAAAAGGAAATGGCATTCTGCCTAAAGGCAAACAACTTGAGATCCACTGCTATACACACTTGCAATAAAGGTATTTTTAACTGTTCACTAAAAAATTTTATTTTTGACAGGGAGTTGGTTTATCTGTCCATGGAAAATTTCGTGTCGGCACAGAGAGAACGATGTTTGCCATGCCAGAGACAGGAATAGGTGGGTCATCATTGTTAACTCACAAAACCTTGGTTAGAATCATTAGACGGGGATCATTGAAATAGGGACTGGAAATGTTGTAAATTAAGAGAGGTTATTTACAGAGACTAGTGGCTAGTTATTGAACTTGATAAGATCACTTTCCCTTTGGAAATAATCAGAATCACAATTGTTTTTTACTTGCACAAGTCGCACATTGATTTACACCACCCCTTTACTCCATCCCTTTTATACCATCCCTTTGTAAAAATTCCAGAAAATCCTTTGTGGGAGAGGCAGGCTGGAAACTGATTTAGATAACACTTGTACAACATAAAAAAAAAACTAGCCCTTTGTCAAGTTTCTAAAAATTTGAACTGTGCTAACCATAAAGAAATATTAGACATTGTAGTTACTGGTATACTGTATATGAGTAATGCACATGATCGAATTTATATTGGAAATTTTTAATAAAAAGATTTGACTCATTAGATTCACAATTTTACAAAGCTGCTGTGTCTTTTTCCTGTTGGGTTTTTGTATTGTACTTTCACCCATTTTCTTTCTGTTCTTCTGACCTTCGTTTTTGTTAGTGACTTGTGCCCACTTTTATTCTTTTCTTTTCTTCATCTTTGTATGAATAGGTAGGATGTAAATATATTATGTAAATTTAATTATAAGTACATTACTGTTTTTTGTTGTATAGATGAAGACATTAGCGGATAAGTTATAATTTGTATTTCGTCTAATCATAGTTAAGGCTTAACTTGTATTGTTTTATTTAATTAATTTGTATGTGTATCATTAATCTACTTAAAAGCTTTATCGTTAAAAGGGTTTATCGCAATCCCATCCCCTTATCATGGCCACAGAGTGAGAGAATGCTTTTGGTTCAGGATAACAGAATATGTTCAGTTCAACTGGTTTGTAGAGAAAAGTTCAGTTGCTTTTTGTCGTGTTTCACACAGGTCTATTCCCTGATGTTGGTGGTGGCCATTTCCTGCCGAGGCTGGACGGAAAGTTTGGCATTTTTCTTGCTCTCACTGGATTCAGGTTGAAAGGCAGAGATGTTGAAAAGATTGGCATTGCCACACATTTTATAGAATCTTCAAAGGTCAGTGTAGAGTGATTGTAGGGTGATGTGATGTAGGGTGATGTGATGTAGTGTGGTTTAGGGTGATGTAGTATGGTTTAGGGTGATGTGATGTAGGGTGATGTGATGTGATGTAGAGTGGTGTAGGGGGATGTGATATAGGGTGATTTGATGAGGGGTGGTGTAGGGTGCTGGAGTGGCTCATTTCAAGTGTAGAGAAAAGCTAATGAGACTATTTGGCAGATCTGGGATTTCTTGCTATACATATGTATATTATATATACATATACCCGGTATATATAAGTAATTTAATTTAAACCCTGGGAGGTTGAAGGGGTGGGGAGGATCAGCATTATATATACCTTATTTTTTCTCACATTCAAAATTGATTTTCAATTAAATAAAATTGTCCTGCGTGAGACACTAAGAGATTCTCATTTGTTCATAAAATTTTTTTGTGATAAGAACTTTGACTGTATTCTTAATAGCAACCATTTAATATGAATTTCTTCATGTTCAAGAGACTAGCCTAACAAACAAACAGACTATTGTTGTATGACCACCCATCAAATATGTTATACATTTATGACCATCCACCAAATGTTATACATTTACTACAACCAATCTAATAGGTTTTAAATTTATGATTAGATCAGTGAATTGGAAGAGAGGTTGACAAATTTAAAGTTTGATGCAGGCCAGGCCGGGGTTGCAGATGTACTGGAGGATTTACAGAAACAGGTAAAAGTCTTTGGTTGTTGTGAACTCAGGTGTGAAGATGGTTCATAATATTATTGATACATAGATGCTAATCCAGTGGTTACAAGCTTCTTACATGCTCTCTCATTTTATTATATTTGATAATACTTATATACACACCCTACTGTTGAATGCTATTTGTCTTATTTTTCATATTACTTTTTTTGTTTGTTTGCTGGCGAAGGCTTTTGGCCTATACATTCATTATTTTTTTTGTGTCTCTTTCTAAGCTTTCCCCGCCCTGTGTGCGTTATTTTCTTCCTATCTTTATTCCATATTGATTCTGTAGACATTCATTGTTTGTTTCAGTCAACGTTTGATGCAGATAAAGAATTTGTGCTCAAAGCTCACACGGATAAGATCAACAGGCTGTTTGCCGGGCAGACCATGGAGAAGATATTCGATGCACTACAGAAAGATGAGTCGGACTGGGCTAGGAAACAGCTGGACATCTTGAAGAAAATGGTTGGTAGAAAGGGGCTTGACAAAGTTTTCACTATTAAAAATTTTTTAAACTGAGTTGTATGCTCTAATTATTTATAGTTTTATTTTCATTAAATTGCATTGAAAGCAATCTAATAAATAGTATGTAACCTTTTGGGATACAGAAAAAATGTCTTTCTTTTTTTTTTAAACATCATAAATTATTTCCCTTTCCCTGGGAAGTTGTAACTTAAAAATGTTAAATCAGGTACAGTTAATAGTTGGACTATGAAGTGAGTTAAAACTTGGTCATATCAGGTACAGTAGATAGTTGGACTATGAAGTGAGTTAAAACTTGGTCATATCAGGTACAGTAGATATTAGTTGGACTATGAAGGTTAAATGGTGAGAGGAGGTTATTCATTTACAAACCATTTCTTGAGTTGAAAACAAAGATGTATTTTTGACAGCTAGGAAATAAAAAGAAATGTCTCCTGATTTTACTTTCAGTCCCCGACTTCTCTCAAGATAACTTTGAGACTGTTGCTGGAAGGTCAGAGTCGAAGCTTGGCTGAAGATTTACGCATTGAGTACAGACTGAGTCAGAGATGCTTGGAGGATCGGGATTTTTATGAGGGAGTCAGAGCAGGTGATTAATTGCTTGATATTGGGTCAGAGCAGATGATTATTGCTTGATATTGGGTCGGAGCAGATGATTATTGCTTGATATTGGGTCAGAGCAGGTGATTATTGCTTGATATTGGGTCAGAGCAGGTGATTATTGCTTGATATTGGATCGGAGCAGATGATTATTGCTTGATATTGATTGGGTCAGAGCAGGTGATTATTCTCTCCCATTCATAATATTCAGATCGTATCTTCCCAATCCATGGGAGATTACAGAATGTATAGATGCCCATCCACCACCCCGCAAACATACACCAAAAAAAAACACTCTCATACATCCATAGTTAATATAATTTATAACATATAATATGGTTAATTTTGTCAATAGTATAACAAGATTAATAAATAATAAAAGGCTTATGTCGTTTATATGCATGGAAATTTTTTTCAATATGTCTCTCTCAGCATAATATGTTTATCCAATTACACGTCTTGAATCTTGATGTTTTGTCTTGAATCTATTTGTTTCACATGTAATCATTTGATTATTGTTTTAATCGTGTTTACAGTTTTAATAGACAAGGACAATAACCCCCAATGGAACCCTGCCAGTATAAAAGATGTTTCACAGAGTAAAGTAGAATGGTTCTTCTCTCCCTTGGATCCCAAAAAGGAATTGATTTTGTGATTGCAATCAAATGTCTTTGATCAAAGGACACAAGAACAGTGTCTTCGGGCAGAGGACTCAAGAGATTTATGGTTGATTTAAGCAGATGCCCCTGTGATGACCCACATGTTTTGTTGTGATGTTGTAGGAGATCAAATAATATTCCCCCCCCACCCGATTACAAAATTTGTCAGTTGAATTGTACACAACTGTTTGCACAGGGTGATCTATACATGTTTCAATTTTTATCATTTCAATTCAAGAATACAAAATATGTCTGGCTGTTCTTTTTGTATATATCGCAATAATAATACTGTAACCAGAGTTTTGGCACAAAACGTCATTCACATTTCAACAGAACTAAGTTGAGGGATTTTTTAGACTTTACTTTGAAATATTGATTCTGTCTTTGTTACACTCATCACTACTAACTGACAAGGTAAGTTAGCCCATAATCCACCAAAAGAAGGCCTCAGAGAGAAGTTACAAGGATTTTTAAAGTTCTGTTAACTTTAGGGATTATCAAGCAGAAAAATAGACTGTCTTCACTCACATTTTCTCATTGGCGTTCAGACTGAACACTACAATTAATCAAGTATCTCTGTCCGACAAATATTGATTGGGTATTGACAGTTGATGGTGTAGAAAGATCTTTTAAATTATTTCATGTAACTGTTTATTTCAAATCCATTATTCATTCAGCAGAAAATTTGTGCATTTTTCAATTTATGAGAGGACATTGTTTGTGTTTATTTGGGAGAAAACAGTTTGTTGGTAGTTTTCATTTCATGTTTGTAGCATATGATCTATAAGCTTAGCTAATGTTAAGTGAGAATTCATTTTATTTAGCTTGTGTTAGTTTTGGTTTCATGTTTGTAGCATATGATCTATAAGCTTAGCTAATGTTAAGTGAGAATTCATTTTATTTAGCTTGTGTTATTTTTGGTTTCATGTTTGTAGCATATGATCTATAAGCTTAGCCAATGTTAAGTGAGCATTCATTTTAGCTTAATTAGCTTCCTCATAATTTAAAGAGAATCAACACATTTATTGTGAACGTGACTTTTCTCCCTCATTAGACTTTGTTGTACATAGACCGTGTTGACTTGTATAAGGATGAGATTTGTTTGGATTTATTAAATAATGATTATTGTAATAGCTTGTAACTGAGAAAATTGATTTTAAATTTGAAAAAAGAAAAAGATCTAATAATGGCAATGGTATGTTATTGTTTTATGTAGAGAAATGTGTGATGTGTAATGTGCTATTTCATGTAGGGTAATTTGTCATGGGTAATGTGATTTTTTATATCGGTTATGTTGAATTTATGTAGGTTGATGTGTAATGTGCTGTTTCATGTAGAGATGTGTAGTGTGCTGTTTCATGTAGTTTATTTTAATATTATAATTTGTGGTGTAATCAACTGATTTATATCCACAATGTGTAATTTTTTGTAGGTTGATGTATGATTTGCTGTTTCATGTAGGGTAATATGTGATGTGGTGTTTCGTGTAGGGTAATATGTGATTTGCTGTTTCATGTAGGGTAATATGTGATTTGCTGTTTCATGTAGGGTAATATGTGATGTGCTGTTTCATGTAGGGTAATATGTGATGTGCTGTTTTATGTAGGGTAATATGTAATGTGCTGTCTCATGTAGGGTAATATGTGATGTGCAGTTTCATGTAGAGAAATATGTGATGTGCTGTTTCATGTAGGGTAATGCGTAATTTGTGATTATTAATGTGCTGTTTTATGTAGTATAATTTGTGTTGTGTGATATGCTGTGTTATGTATTTTATTATTTGATTTTATAGAATAGTTGTGTGCACAGGATTAATTTAATATTACCATAGTTATAAATTCCTTGAAATTTTTTCACACATTTCATGACAGGAGGTATATAAATGGTGGAAAACAAGACTTATTCAAAACTTATTGAATCTGAATTTTGTCAAAAGTAGTGGCCTTCTCATTGGCCAAACAGGGAACCACACACAGCTACTGTGAGTACTGCCCACACACAGCTACTTTGAGGACTGCCCACAAACAGCCTCTTTCAGGACTGCCCACACACAGCTACTTTGAGGACTGCCCACACAGCTACTTTCAGGACTGCAAACACACAGCTACTTTGAGGACTGCCCACACACAGCTCTTCTTCTTCTATATCTTAAGGGCCCACGATCAATTTATTGATCATTTTGGCTCCTATGCATGTAGATGGGATTTGCAATGTTTCTGTTACTGGTGGTGATGAGGAAATTATGCACTAGGGGTTTGAAG